TCCTCTATTTACGCGGATAGTCGGTCGTATATTTCGGATCGGATTTGCGATGCGGATTGTCCAGCGAGTAGCACATCGGAGTGTCGGATTTAGATTCGATTCAAAAATTGCCATCGATTCGGATTCGGAATCAGGCATTCTAAATAGCCAGAATCGATTCGGATTCGATATTGTACGGATTTTGTTAAATGCTGTCGCAAGATGCGATTTTGGTTGCAGAGTCCGTGACCCGACGCACAGCTCTAATGTCCAGTAAATGAAAATGCACGTTTGGAGTTTCAATAGTAATACAGTAACAATGACAGTGTCAGTCACAGCCTCAAAGGCACTTGAAAGTTGAAGTGTTCCGGCAGTACGGGCCCGGGGCACATAGACGGTTAAGTACGAGATTCCATCTGACCAATGCCGGGCCACGGATGCATGAGGACGAATTTGTGGTCGTTTTTGGTGTGGGTTAGGTTCTAGACTACACTCAAAACCACAAACATACGCGATGTGGGCCATTGGTCACACTCCAGGAGGAATCCTTCGGAACTATATAGCTAATAGACGGATTATGAACCCCTCTCAGCGTCAGTGTGAATGTTGCAGTACCACTTTGAGTTTTACTAGCAAAAAAATACAACACAAAAAAACATACTTACTTGGGCGAGTGACCGGAGTGCTAAGCGTAGAAATACAAGTCGAGAGAGCCTGAGTGCGCTGGATATCTACGCGCAAATATTACCAAAAAACAATCTAAAACTTAAGTGTAAACACTACGTTGGAGCTGTGACGATAGCGACTAGCAACTGCTAGGCATGTCACCATCTGCTGCTCTGCACGCCATAGGTATTTGCAGGTTTTTTGACCCCATATACCCCTGCGCGTAAGACTGGCTCTGCGCCTCTCGACAGCTTTCAGTGTAGACTCGGAGCTAGCAAACGTCTCGAACGTGCGGGACCTCGTCTCGACTTGCGCGCGGCGCCCACGGCTGTCTATGTCTGCGAGACTGCGCCGCCGTGCCGTTACAGAACTCGTCGTATCGAAATAGTCCACGAGATCAATCCCGTAGCTGAAGAGCGGCCCGGACTTGCCTCGCTCCGAGCGGCTCGGCCGTTTGTGTATCATGTAATAACAAATCCCCAGTACAAGTAAATACAATATAACCATTTTAGTGTTCACACAATCCGAATCCGAATCCGAATCCGATTCCTTAAAAATTGTAAATCCGATCCGAATCCGAATCCGATCGGATTCGGATCGGATCGGATTCGGATTATCGGATCCGACGCACAGCTCTACTGGACATGTATTTTCATGAATTAAATATGTCATAATCATGTACTACAGTAGCTCCAAGAAACGGTATTGCTAGGGTTAGAATACCCTAGTATGCCCCTAGAATACCCTAGTATACCCTAGAATACCCTTCTACCCGGTGTATTGACGTTAGTCACACAGCCTGGTCGGGTTAGTACTACAGTACAGTAGTATAATTTTACATGACTACAGCATTTACAATTAAGTATTGTATGCACCTGCACATGTATGTATTATAATTTATAGCCTATACTATAGGTATAGGCTTAATTACTATAGGCATATATAATCAATAATGGAATGTATAATATTGTTCTTCAGACACATAATAATTAATATTATATGTCACTATAGTCTATAGTACGTACTGCACTTGCGCACGATAATGACCATTCATTTGTCAGTCAATTTGACACGTTTAATAATAAAATAATAATAGTAACATTTTCTGTACCATAGGAAAATGTCCGTACACACGTGCATCACCTGCAGAGTGGTATTCGCTACATCCGACTTCCAGCGATCTCACTACAAGTCGGATTGGCACCGCTACAACCTTAAGCGCAAAGTTGCAGAGCTGCCAGCAGTAAACGCCGACGCCTTCAAGGAACGAGTTCTCGCTCAGCGTGCGAAGGTGACTCTACTGATTGGCACACAAAGTCAATTTAGCTTAAACGTATCACAGTAAATAGAAGTAAATCTATGGAAAGACTATATATAGCATAGGAGACTAGGAGTTTCTAAATCTTCATAGAATGGTAGTGGAATAAGAAAGGGACAATGCCATTTTAAGCACAGCCTCTATACTATAGTACAGCTAGTTATATATAGTTAGGTAAAGGACAAAAGTAGACTTAAGCTAATTTGTTGTGCGAGTAGTTTAATTTATATTTGCATGATTTCTAGGTCGAGGGAGAAGAGAAGAAAGGTGAGGTCTCATTCTATTGCAGTGCCTGCAACAAGCTGTTTGGCAACAACAATGCTTTTCAGAATCACATTGGCTCCAGAAAACACAAGGTTAGTGCAATTCACATCTTTTCTGAGCAACATAATTGTGCTTTTGTATTGGTGCTATGGATCTAACTATAGAGTTTGGCAACTGTCATATTAGTTATGTTGTGATGCACTTCTGCAAGAATGGTAGTGAAGATATGTGAAATAATTGAAATACATCTGTTCTATCTGTTAACCATGTTGGCGTGTGCATTTGCATTTTCCAGGAGATGGAGGCGTCAGACAGTGTGAAAAAGAAAAGTGTAATCAAGCAGAAAAACCATCTGAATCTTGAGAAGGGAATGACTGAGACCGGCAAACATAGTTCAGTAACCAAAAGGTAGTCTGTTATCCACCGTTTACCTAATCACGTGTGTGTGCATGCAAAATGGATGTCCAGTTTGTGATCCTCTACAACCATTATGATTAAGTGCGCCACATTAAGGATTAAGCATTTATGTGAAATTTTCATTGATAATTTTAGATTTTTCATTTTGTAAATATGAAAACTTAAAGAAAAATCCTGATGCACGTTTTTGGTGCATTTATAAAGCTTTACTTGTGGCAAAAATTTTGTTTCCGTACTCTTTGTGGTAGTTGAGAAATATCAAAAATACTGTATTTACATATAAATTCTAAATTTGTGTTGGCACATAATTTGATGCTAGAAATTTCATGGAATTTTTTGACGAGCATAGGTATATACATCTCATCTATAAATAAAACGTGTGCTTGATTCAATTCTGGTCAATAAACGTTTATTCCTTATCAGAGCAATACCCGTGCAACAGCTTGAGAGAATCCTTGATCTAGTGTGTTGGTTACATGTTCTTTGCATGTATGTATATGTTGCTTCGACCACTAACTTGTAAAGTATTCCCTGATTGCAGGGTGGAAGAGAGTACTGGCGATGGTGTGCAATCTGTAATGGATACGACGTCAGAGCCCTCTGCAGCGCCATCAGGTAAACCCTACATAATGATACCTCAGCCACACACATGTATTATATATATATTTATTTATTTATATTTATATATATTTATTCTTTTTTTTTGACGTCCTATGTCAATCAACGTTGCATGTCGTTATTACCACGTAGTGTGCTGACCACGAGATTTGTCGGCTTTTGCAGCTTCCTCGTCTGCGACCGGGGGCATCAGCGGGGCAATGAAGAGCAAGATGCGAGCGCCGGAGCCAGCAGGCAGACGACTGAAGGAGAGCGATGCGGACCACGATGACATGGGCAGCGAAGATGACGTCGACGATTGGGAGGACGTAGAGGGTGGGAATGCAAAACTGTTCCTCTCCTCATGATTGCTCGGTCTCACATAGGCGATGAAGAATCGTAATCAACTCTAGCTTTGACGTATTAAAGCTGATTCACTGGTAGAAAATCTACATCATTCTGGGTGACAGGGTCTTATTTTGCAGTTTTGCAACTTGTGTGATGTCTTTACAATTTTAAAAACAAGTGTCCAGAGAGTGGACTAGCATCGGCAGACAAAATTAAATTAGAAAATTTTTTAAGCTATATATATATACATTATCTCAGGGGTAGAAATAAACTTTTGAACACGGGAGTCCAGCGGATTCCCTAACCTGCGTGTGACCTACCTAAAGAGTGAGTCTGCAGCAAAATGAGGGAGTCCGCAGTCTGAGGTTCAAAATTAAAGATATTAACATGCAATAACGCATGTGCTTATTTTTAAGATTCATGCAGTTGCATGTCTGCCAAATTTTCTTTGGACATTAGCTGAAAAAATATATGGTAATTCCGCGAGGCCGTGCTCCGGAACGAACTAGTTTGTATGGCAGAATTTTTAGGGAGTCACACGGACTCCTGCATATGTCAAATCAGGGAGTCCGACAGTAAATCGAGGAGTATTTGACTCCGGACTCCTGTTAATTTCGCACCCTGTTATCTGGAACTCAATTATTTTAACATGGATGAACTCTACAGCGATGTGTGTGTTTCTCGGCATGAAATGTAACCCTACTATCTCTCTCAGGCGATGAAGAAGACGAGGAGGCAGAGGAAGGAGAGGAAGTGTGGCTTGGAGACCCCATCCTCCCCGTGGACTGCCTCTTCTGCCCCCATCACAGCTCCAGCGTCGAGCAGAATGTCAGTCACATGAGTCGCGATCACAGCTTCTTCATCCCTGACGTGGAATATCTGGTTGACACAGAAGGTCTTATCACGTACCTAGGTAAATTTGTTACTTAGATATTTACTTTTGCCTACCTAGGTAAGTGTTTATAGGAGTACCTAATTAATCTGTTCCGTCTCATTACCTACTTAGCTACGGCCTTATGTACCATCGGGGGACCAAGAGGAAAAGCAAGCAACCTACTTAGCTAAGCATTAAATTTAAATGTGTATTGATGGCATTTCATTGCATCGCATTTCATCTATGTTTGGGAGATCACAAGTTTTTCGACGTAATCGCAGTGTGGTGAAGGTGTGTGCCACGTAACGAGATGTATTGACGTCGTGTACGTGCTGGTGTTTCGCAGGGGAGAAGGTGGGCATGGGTAACGTGTGCCTATGGTGCAACGAGCGAGGTAAGGGATTCCACAGCACACACTCCGTACAGCAGCACATGTACGACAAGGGCCACTGCAAGATGCTGTTCACCGGTGATGCCGTGTTCGAATACTCCGACTACTACGACTACAGGTAGAGTCTCAGCGCTCTTGGCGATTCACCTATTTGTCTGTATGAGATAGTCGCCCCCTGTCCTTTGATGGTCTTGCCTGATTTTCTTCTATCGGTCAAGCTCACTCGATTTGTATGTGGTTTTTGCGAGTGCACGGAAAAGTCTCACTATTTCGACGCTTTATTGCCTTTGGAATCTTTGATACTATTTGATCACACAAAGCTACATGTGAGAGTTGTCTATTGCAGGTCTAGTTACCCAGACCACAAGGAGGTGGAGGGCACCGAGGCAGAGCAAGATGAAGAGGTTGATCTCCCAGCTCTAGCTGAGCAGTACTATGCACTGGTGCTGCCATCTGGTGCATCAATTGGTCACAGGTGAACAAAATTGCAATGAAAAACGTCCGTTTTGATTAAAAGATGATTACCCCTTACGACTAGTCGCATGATGAACGAGAAATTTCTTTTATTAATGTTGTTAGTTTTGTTACATTTATATTACTTCTGTTGACTATTTAATGTTGATTGTAACTATACAGGGTTGTATCTGGTTATATAGTTGTGTATGTATTACTATATTATTGTGATGTGTGCGTGCGTGCGTGCGTGCGTGCGTGCGTGCGTGCGTGCGTGGGCGTGCGTGCGTGCGTGTGTGTGTGTAAGTATTTATCGGGACGTTTGTGTCTGTGTGCAGGTCTCTGCTGAGGTATTATCGTCAGAACCCTCCACAGAAGGAACGACCGAGGCGCGGAGCGGTCAGCAAGGTGCTTGGACAGTACAGAGCACTTGGCTGGACAGGCAACACAAGTAAGTGCATGAGATTCAAGCATTTTCACTCATCACCAGAGAATTCTAATCAATGACTTTTTTTTCTAATATATGTAAATTGTAATTAAATTGTAAATATATGTATATATATGTAATTTTTCTGTATATGTAATATCTGAAGCAAATATCAACTATTAATTTTTATTCGCTCCTGATAATGAGAAATGTGACAGTCATGTGTTGACGTTAGCTGGTAGATCAGTTTTAGCAGATCAGACATGCACGTGCTGCGATGATGTGCAGACCTGTTCTCACGTGTTTTTAATCTATGTACAGGTGTGCGCACCCCCCAGCAGATGAAGGATATAGGCTACCTGCAGCGAGCAAGAGCGAGATATTACACGCAGCTCGGGCAGAAGGGAAATAGCATACTGCAGAAACACTACCGAAGCCAGAACCCAATCTAAGCCTGTCGCAAGGTGGCGCTACTGTTCGGTGCAGATGAATGAACACCGTAGCAGACAGACTTCGAGACCAGGCCAGGCTCTGTTTTTGTACTTTGCTGTTTTTTGCATTTTTGTTATATGGTGGATATCAGGGCTACATCAGTGGCTCAAGTCTTGGCTCAAACTTTAAAACATCCAGAGGGAGCATATCACTCATATATTATGCATATATATATATATATAATAGTATATATAATCAGCGACTAAATGACAAAATTTTCATTATTTAGCTCCTTGATAATAATATAAATGGCATAGAAAGCCCAGGGGAACCCATATCTACAGGTAGCATAGCTTAGTAACATTAGTGCTAATGCCCAATTTGGAAGAGAATTCTACAAGGTGAGAACTAGCTAGTAATGCCATGCTTAATACAACGCAGGCCCGTACGCGCTTTGAATGGGAACGATTTCCAGTCTGGGATAGTTGGAGTTTGTTATTGCTGTTGTGCGGGCAGCCCTGCCTTCGATTAAGTCATAGACAACCGTGTGCGACAAGACCTAGTATCATGACATCAACGGACAAGATATAGACAAGACCTAGACATGAAATAGACAAGATATAGTTGTCAGCATGGTAGGGAGCTAGGGTTAGACCATATCACATAGATGACACGCGAGTGGGTAAGCGGACAAATTTTTGTGTTATTAATTTTAAATAAATTCGTAAACGTTACAAGCACCAGCGAGTATGTACAGCTTGCTTATCAAGTTTCAGCAAAGGGAAAGGCAGCGAGGCAGCGAAACTGCCAAATGCAAATGCTGTGAAGAGAGTGTTTCGGAAGACAAAGAAGTTCGTTTTTTCAGTTTTGTCAGTGGTGGTGAGTGTGTAATGTGGGAATTAATTGAGCCATTTACATCTTTGGAACGATGGCGCGTGATTCTTCCATTTCAATATAGTGAGGCAATATAATATATAATATAGATCACAGATATAATATGTAATCAGAGCATGACGTCCAACGGTGACGGATTGAGAGATTGGCGATAAGGCGCAAGGGGCTCAAAATTTGGCAGCTCGTGAATAAAACCATTATTTTGGCACAATGACCAGTTGTTTATCTCATATTTTCGGTCTCGATTTTGCTCTTAGTAACAAGGCCACCCCTTAAAAAATTGTTTGTTTCCGCCCTTTACCTACTCGGCACTCTCAGGGTAACCGGAAGGTAGGTAGGTAAAAATTTTTATTTGTTCTTGACAAGATGTGTGTATGTATATTGTATATTCTGTTTTGTGTATATGTTTTGTGCGGACGAATTTGATTTTTTTTGCGAAAACGAAATAATTTTTGTTTTGGTTTTAATCGGCCCCAATAAAATTTGTCGAGTAGCGCGTTTGCGGCCGAGGCGCTTTTGGCAGTCCGGTCGGTAAGGGGAAACAAGAATATTTTATCTTAAGGTGCCGTCACAACCCACTAGCCGATCACCAGTTGCGTATGGTTGCGAATCAAAAAATAGTGGGGCCATAAGTTGTTCGAACCGCAACTCACACAGCCCAAGCTAAAATAGGTTTTATAGGTTTGGAAGTACGCCACAAGCACGCAAGGTGAAACGCAGACACACGCTGCGCGAAGCCGCCCTGACTCCCCAGGGGGCTCGCCAGAGTAAAATTCCAGAAATTTTTGAACTGTTCAAAAAATTCTCTGGCGAATCACCTGCGAATCAATTTATAACGCAACAGGGACGCTAAGCACGGAACGACGATCGCAACACGGATCGGCAACAGGTACCAATCTCATAAAAGTATGAAACGCAGCCGTGAATCGCAGGTCAAATTTGAAGGTATCTGCCCAGGGTTTTGGTAGCGTACATGTTGCGAATCCCCGGTGTTGCGTACCTCTTGCGCATCCATCGTGGCCGAGTCACGCTGTTACGTGCCTGGTTCGAATCATTTTCGGTGTGTACTCGGGTACTCCCCAACCTAAATGGCCGTATTGCCCAGCGTATCCCCAACCTAATTAGTTGCCGGTGAAGTTGCGTGTTAAGTTGCGGTACTACATGCGTGTCTGGAAATGGTATAGAATAAGATGGCCTTTTCTAGATACGGTGTCAGTTGTTGGTGACGCTCCCGAGGTACAACATGGAGCTTACCTCTTGCTGTTATTGGATATCAGTTTAATCTGGATCAAGTTTAGCACACCCAACCACATACACGAATAGAATAAACAGAGAGGGGAGAAGAAAAGAAGGAAGAAGAAAGCAAGCGAAAAGAAGAAAAGAAGAAGAACGACGAAGAAGAAAAGAGGTGGGTTAGAGCCATCGAAGAATCCAGCAGGCGCCTTGACTTTTGGTCTCTACGACCCAGCTCTGGTGGAAGCTTCGCCGGAACGAGGACCTAAAGTCATTTCAAGACGCTTCATGAGAGATGCCCCGCCGAGATGTCCCGATGAGCTGCGTACGGAGAGTTGGTCCTCGCATCACACAATGCAAACCACCAAGTACACGTTGCCTTGGACCCTGACGAAGCGTGGCAGTGCACTTTGCGCGGGCACGCCCACCTGGCCTCCGGGTTCACCCAAGTACTCGACATGCACGTTTTCCGTTATTTACAGCTTTTTTATATTAATTAGCAGGTTAATTGACAAGGGTTTTTACGCACGATGACGCGATATCGCAATTAGCAACCGCACCAACTAGCAACGCAGGTCCAACGCCAACTTGTAAGTTTTCGAAACGCAACATCACGCAACTCTCGTAAGTTCTGGACGCAACTCAGCACGCAACTCGTACGCAGGTGATCGCAGCATATTGAAGGGTAGAATCATAATTCAGGTTCGCAACTCACATCGCAATGACCCCATGACCGCAACCCAACACGCAACCCCACGACGCAACTGCCACCACGCAACCCCATAGGTTGAATAGGGCCTAAGAAATTGACTAAAATTGGTCTGATTTGGGTTGCGATTCCTGCTGGCGTAATAAAATATTTTGTACACGCAAGCTCATAGGTTTCAGCATACGCTATGGTGTGACGGCGTGGCCTTTAGGGCCTAAGTAGAATTCAAACTTGCACAGGCTTGCTTTGCGAGTGTGCCGGAGCCCCCGAAAAATAAGGAAGACCCCTCCGCTTCCTTGCTTATCGGATGCCGGGTTAAAAAAAAAAATTGTTCCTTAAAACAGCCGGGGTAGATTACTCATGTACCCTTTAATTACGGTATAACCCGCCAGCTGCGGCCACATGAACAACGGTGTAAACGAAGAGTGGAGAACTAATGACAAAATACTATCCGACGGTTTTTGTTCCTGCAATATTGCCGGTAAACCCTTTGCCACGCTGACGTCAGCGACGAAGTGCAGCCCTGACACCAAGGCGCTACGGCGACGATCAGGAAAGAGAGCTGCGAGAACGTGTTGGCAATAATGCTTTTATCCTTCACCCCGAGACAACGCAGAAGAAAGATAGGGCAAAGTGCGACGCAGAGAGAGAGAGGAGAGAGAGAAAGTGAAAGAGAGAGATAGCAGGAACGAAGAGGGTAGACGGTGAAGATCTCTGCTCCCCGACGCCATCCTGCCTCATGTTGGCGCGCGAAAACAAATAAAATCATAGCGTTTATTTGACCATGAAGATCTGAAGAGGCCGCGCCCGCGAGGG